AGGCAAACCAGTCTGCGTCCTCAGGCCTTAATCCTATTATTACCACCTCCTAATGGGAGCCACCACACACATGCACGCAAACATACACACACAGTTAAATATAATTATGAACGCCTCAAACCGGTTTAGCAATATTTGTGTTATCAACAAATTCCAACTAAATATCCTCATTTTGTTTTAAATGGTATAAAATGAATAATACTGAAGAACAGCAAACCCTGACTTGCCCTGTGTGGCCCTGGAGGTGCAACCAGACTGATGTCTATGTCAAATGGCCTGGCATGCTTAATGAGATGAGAAAAGGCTAATGTGATTCTATATCAGACAGGCTCTAGGGGCATCCCATTTAGCCACACACGGTGTCACTTACACAGTGACTTAAAGGCACATCCTTTACTTTTCACACACTGGTTCTGAGAATGTTAAAAAATTTAAACCCTGCCCTTCACATAGGGAGTGATGATGGTGGAAAGCAGAGCTGAAGAGTTTAAGGCAGATTAAATGAGAGATTTGCTTTTTCAAACAAAGAGGTTAAAGTGGACTATCAAAATTAAAAAAAAAAAAAACAAAAACTGTACAACTGGGCCAGATATCTCTGCATAGAAAATACACTTCCACTATGGTATGCCACATTTTAACATGTTATATGAATTGAGCTGTTATTTCTCTCTGAAATTTTCTGTGTGAACAACCTCAATCAGAGAAAGATGTTAATTTGCACTGCAAGTGGAAAAATTAACGTCTCAATGATTATCAGACATCATGGTAGGTGGTGAGACACCTGTTGTAGCGCATCTGCTATAACAATAACAAATGTAACAACTCATTAGAACATAAAGCTGCTGAAGAACAACAAGGATAAAAAACAATCTACTTTTATTGAGTTGTGTGAGCATCTGTGGTTATGTATGCACCTTTGAGTTTATGTGAGTTTGTATTTCTGAGTGTTCTTACATGTGCTTTTGTGTGTGTTTTGTTGGAGGAAAATAGCTCTTCAGCAATTGATATCACTGTGCTAGTCAATTAAGTGGTACTACAATGCAACATAAACCTGACAGACGCTTCGGGGCAAGTCTGAGTATGAGAAAATCCCTGGTTTACTGCTCAACGTAAAATCATTTGTGGAATCATACATGCATGAATAAATAAATGAACAGGCAAATGCACACAAACCTATATACAAAAAGACAAAAACACACATATATATATCTCCCGTTATTGCGCTCTCTCTCTCTTTCTCACATTGGTACACTTACCTCAGCATTTTCAGTGTGCACTAGGGAGACTGGTGGGTCAACCAGCCCATTGACTTTTAATGTGTGTGTGTGTGTGTTTGCCCCAGTAGGATGGAAATGTTAATCTTTTTTAGTCCATGCCTCAGACCATTGGTCACAATGACATTGTCAGTTCCCCAGAGTGTTTCACATCTAGTCCCTGAGAAGGGATAAAGTCAGCACTGCTGATCTGATTCAACATTCCGTTTGTATGACTCGCTCTCACATGCACGCACATACACACACACACACACACACACACACACAAACACTTGCTTGCCTCCCATCTTGCAAATCCCTCCCTGATCCTACTCCACATGAGGATATTCCTGGTATGTCACATTTTTCACTTATTTTTTACAATGCAACACATATCAAAATGCAGTGCATATACAGTGCATTTAGAAAGTATTCACGCTGAAAGTATTCACAAAGCTTCACTTTTTAACATTTTTATATGTTGCAGCTTTATGCTAAAATTGTTAAAATTAACTTCCCCCTCATCAATCTACAAGCAATACTCCATGATGACAAAGCAAAAACAGAATTTTAGAAGAATTTTTTGCAAATTTATTAAAAAGCAGGAACTGAAATATTGCACTGACATTGAAAGTATTCAGACTGTTTACTCAGTACTGAGTTGAAGCACCTTTGGCAATGATTACAGCTCCGAGTCTTCTTGACGTGATTAGCTTTGCACATCTGGATTAGGGGAATTTCTGTCTCTCTTCTCTGCAGATCCTCTCAGGCTGTGTCAGGTTGAATGGGTTCCGTCAGTGGACATTTTCAGGTCTGTCCAGAGATGTTCGATTGGGTTCATGTTAGGACTCTGGCTGGGACACTCAAGGACATTCACAGACTTGTCCCTAAAGCCACTCTGAGTTGTCTTGGCTGTCTGCATAGAATCATTGTCCTGTTGGAAGGTGAACCTTCGGTCAAGGCTATCTCTGTACTGTGCTCACTTCGGCTTTCCCTCAACCCTGACCAGTGTGCCTGTGCCTGCCGCAGCAAAACACCTCCACAGCATGACGCTGCCAGCACCATGCTTCACCGTTGGGACAGTATTGGGCAGGTGATGAACGGTGCCTCATTTTCTCTGGACATGATGCTTAGAATTGAGGCCAAATGGGTCAATACTGGTTTCATCAGACCAGAGATTATTGTTTCTCACAGTCTGACAGTCATATGTGCTTTATTTTTAAAACTCCAAGTGGCTTTCATGTGTCTTTCACCGAGCAGAGGCTTCCATCTGACCGCTCTGCCAGAAAGTCTGGAGCCTTCCCCAGATCTGTGCATCGACACAATCCTATCTCTGAGCTCTATCTTATATAGATAGGTATTTGTCTTTCCAAATCATGTCCAATCAATTGAATTTACCAATCAAGTATCCAATCAAGTTGTAGAAAAATCTAAAAGTGATCAAGAGAAATGGAAGGCAACTGAATTTCACGTGCGATAGCAAAGGGACTGCATACATCATGCCCAGGAAGGCTTGAGGCTGTAATCACTGCCAAGTACTTCAAATAAGTACCGAGTAAACGGTCTGAATACTGACATCAATGTGATATTTCAGTTTTTTTCCTTTTTAATACATTTGCAAAAATTTCTCTTCTCACTCTTTTCACTTCGTCATTATGTGGTATTGAGTGTAGACTGATGAGGGGAAAAAATGAATTCAAATGATTTTAAAATAAGGCTGCAACATAAAAAATGTGAAAAAATGGAATGGCTCTGGATAATTTCTGAACGCACTATATACAAATACATTTTACCATTCTATTTATAGGAGGATTAAACACATACCTAATTCTAACTTTAAAGATGACTTCCTTGTTTTTGCTTCTTGCGCTTTAACTTTAAAACATTCCTGGGGCTTATGAATTTGCAAAATAAGAGGCCATTTATATGATAAGAAGGATGTTAGATAGACTTTCTAGTTTGAAAGATTCAATTGGACTGTACAATTTACATTTTATTCATTGCAAGTCTTTAAATCAGCCTTGTTGAAGCCCCCAGCTGAAGAGTCCTGTAACAAGACACTGAATGTCTTCTTGCTCCAGGGACACTGAGGCTGACTCAGTGAGACGTGCCAAATGAGGGATGCAAGAGGACTGAAGATTTCCATAAAGGAATCAATAAAGTTTTATAAATAGTGTTGCCACTGTGACACCTATGCGCTGTGAGGTCGCTCTTATGAGCAACAGCTTTGAAAAACAGAAACGCACTGCCCGTCCCCTCTCACTCCCCCTGTCTCTTTTCTCCTCTGTCACAAACTGACTCGCACACTCAAACACTGCCGCACGCGCGCTCGCACGCACAAACTGCTCGCAGCATCTCTTCGCTGTTGTCTGTCCTATGGGATGATTAATGAGGCGCGTCCCCGGACACATTCATGAAGCCCTGGTGATCACCGGACGAATCAGTCACACTGAGCCCTCAGAGTCGGCTCAGTCACCGTCAGCACGATCGGAATGACACTGAGCCAAGTGTTGATGATTCCAAAGAAATAAAGAACCAAACATAACAGATCCCTTTAAAGATGGACAGAACCAACATTAGCGTATTAACGCTTAAAAATGTCAGGCGGCTGGTTGGTTTCAAAATATAAGTTACAACGAGAACAAAATAAGTACGAATAAGCCTATACAATAGGCTATACAACTGACATCCCGAATCCCTGGGAATATGTCTTTGAGAATATTATAGTAATAGGCAATAGAAATATATTAGAAAAATGTGGAATGTCAGGAATGTGTAAACAAACTCTAAAATTACAGGTCAATAGGCAAAATAGGACTATCCTATGGCATCCCCAGGCTTTAAGTGTGGAGGTTTAACCACGCAAAAAAAAAACCCATCATGATAATTATTTGAGCTACAGAAGTTGCCACCAAGTTTGTCAGTGACCGTTTGCTGAAAAATAAGGTTGACTAAAATAGGTCCAGTCCTGGTAACTGCGCAGAGACTCATAAAAATTCAGATTGCATAGAACAACCTACATCAGACTGCACAAGCAATAGGCTAAAAATTAGAAATCTTTAATTTGCCTCTGGGTCACTAACAGTGAAGAATCAGCTTCCAGAGTCCATTAGAGCATAGCTCCCTCCTGAAAATCTGGAGATTGAACAAAACCTCTGCATTTGGATTTCTTCGGGGGGAAATGTAATGATGTGAAAACAAAAATGTTTATATAGCCTAACGTTAATCCAAATAAAATGAAGAAAGAAAGGGCTGAAGAAAGAAATAGCCTGACATTTGTGGATTGATTTCAAACTTTTTGTCTCTCAAATGCACTCAGCCCCGGGATTGAGAGTACACAAAAAACAGAAAACCACAACTGGCATGCTGAAATGTCATTCAGTAATCCAGCTCTTTCTGAAGGCAATGAAAACCGGTGATCAGAATCACCCAACGGACATAAAATCCTGGGCGCTAAAATCGATGGACCAGAGATCCTGAAGAGTTAACACGTGTAGGTCTAAACTCAGAAGGTAAACTCGCTCCCTCTCTCTATCCCCCCTTTCCCCGCTGCAGCCTGGCTCTTAAGCTCCCAAGATTACCAGCTGGCACCACCGTGGGGATACCTGCAGCCCCGCTGCTAAACGCACCGTCTCTGCCTTAATACTGCTCTGCTCCAGAGACAGGCTCGCTCTGCTTCCCATCCATGTCCAGTCTTACCCGATCAGCGCTTTGTGACACATCCAAAAATATAAAATAACAACTTACGGGTTGTTGGCAAAGCTCCGTGCACACCGTTGACATGGCAGAAAATCCACAAAGCTACCGGCAATAACAACGTCATTCCCTGGGCAGGACGGTACCGGTGCATCTTCACGACCGGTGTGGACGCAGCGGAACGGAAGAGGGAGAGGAAACACTCAGAATAAACAGCGGGGTGGTGGTAACACAAGTCAGTCCGACAGACTCGCTTCGCAGTTGAGGACTGGCAGAGAGGAGACTGACTACACGGTCTCTCTCTCTCTCTCTCTCTCTCTCTCTCTCTCCTGTATCTCTTTATGTAGGTCTCTCTGACTCGCTCTCTCTCTAATAAAGAGATGATGTAAGGATCGCGCTGACAAACAAGCTGGCCTGTACTTGGAAGCGGAACGCACTTCTCTCTGCAGCTATCTCGCCTCCTTATTTAGCGATCCCCTACTGAGACAAAACAACAATAACAATACCAACAACAACAACAACAACAACCGTGTCTCCACCTGCACAGGACGAGAAGATTGGGTGCGTCTGTAGTACACAGTATAGGCTCCAGTAGTTCAAGGAGGCATGACTGTGCGCAGCTCAAATCCACTGAACTGATTTCTCCTCTCTAGCGCTCCGGTGCGCTGTCCGTGGTGCTGAACTTATCTCAGTCTCTCTCCGTCTCTAAATGTCTTTCCGTTTCCTTTAGCCAGACAGTGCCACCCTCCTTCTCTAGGTGGTGGTAGCCTTGTACTCGTTGCACCCTTCTCATTTCTTCACACCAAAAGCTCTAAAAATGTACACATGACCTACAGTCACTCTCTACATCTTGATGTCTCCCTTTATCTCTTCTGTCTGCTTTCATTGTAAAAATGTTTTTTTGGGGGAACTGCAGTTATAAGGATTCATTAATAAACAGATGTGATATGCATCTGTTATTCCAAATTTAGTTTTGTCAGAAAAAAGGCCAGATAGATAGAAGCTCTGAAGCTTTTAGATTATTTTTGTTACACTGTTAATTTAGAATTTGTCTCAACCTGTTCTGGCATGTTGCAGAGACACAGATAACATGTTTTAGGGCTGTTGAATAATCTGCACAAAAAATTCCCCATAAAGATAGGGTAAAAAGTTTTACACATTTATTGAAAAAGTCTATCCTAAGTAAAGAGACACTTGTGAATGCTCCTGGATATGTCTGTATTAACTATACATCTCAGTTGTATTGCTTCCAGATTTCAAGAAGTTGGAAGTGTTTGAGGAGTATTTCTACAGTACAACAGCTAATTTCATGTGCCTAACCTAAAATTTCAAGGGTTCAGCGCTGGATTTGGCTTGGCCACTTTTGATTTAAAGATATTACACTTCTTATTCAGCTCTATGGATGCATGTTTAATGTGGCAGAAATCTAAGGCATGACTGTGCAAGAAAGGAATTCCTTAAGTAATGAGCTATCTGTGGCTCCTTCAATTTCTGCCATAATTAAACAATGGTGAGCTGCACAATGGAGGGTTGTCCTGCAGAAATTAATCTGAGCCACAGCTCTCTAAGACTGAACCTCTGGGTCATAGCTGCTCTGCTGCTCGTCTACTCTTTTTGTTAAGTTTGTAGAGAAGAACAGCTCTTTGACTTTGGTCCAAATGCTGTGACTAAATGTAAGTGATACAGTGGGATGAGCTCCCAACAACGTAAACATGTTTTATATTTTTTCACCATTTGATTCCTCTGTTCTGCCTCCAAACTGTAGAGACAGTTCCTTTAGTTTTGTTCTATCAGCATGAAAAAATCTCAGGTACTGTATATATCTTTCCATTGTAATTATGGTGACTCATTTGTGTTGATTGTTTTTTTTTGTATTTGAATAAGAGAGAAAATCTAGAAATATCCTCCAGAAACTGGTGAAAGATTTTTCTTTTCATAATGACAAACTGCCTTCCATATCTGGCTGTCAGCATTTGTCACTATCATGTCTCCGTCATTGTCATCTGTCCAGAACATAATGTGTGATTATCATTACTACTGGGAACATTTTTATAAATGGAGAAAATGGTGGATGAAAATGGAAAATTCATAACAGACAGCTCCATCGGTGGTAATGTCTAATTTATTTCTCCAAATGAAGGATTGACTATGATAGTCAGCATGCTTATGGATGCTGAGCCATGGGTGAAAAATTATTATTTGATAATCAGTTATTACTGTACAAACAGAAACAGTAACATATTCCATTCATAAGAGTATACATGATTTTCTACTATTATTTTCCTTTGAATAAATATTTCATTTGAAATTAAAAAAAAATGTATGGCCATAATGCTGCTGATTAGGCTTTGGGGATCCCTTTGAGTATATCATTTCTTCAAAGGAAATAGCATAAATGCATGTTCAAGTTAATGAAAAATGACTACAATGGCTACATCTTTACAGGTACAACACGATTAAAGCTGAATTTATACTTCTGTATTAAGGCTTAATAGGCTCCAAAACTATGCACACTGATGTGCACCTCCTGAAAAATAATACAATTCATCTGTTGTTGTGTTGGTGTTATAAGTGGGTGAAATCCAAGGCGGCTCAAAAGATCACCAAAGTTAATTAATCCTGTGGTGACCACCAATCATGACCTGAAGTTTCTATCTGTATTCACGGTGGTTTTGAGATATTGAGCTGTAAAGTTTTTTGCATTTAACAAAACCAAAACTGATATGCAACAAAGTTTGCTTTTATAGAGTGCTGCAGGAATGAGTCCTAAAACCAGGTTAGTTAGCACTTTAGCACTTCCGGTTCCGTTGTCTTGAAGTCTATTGGTTTTTTGAATGGGTTAGGGTTAGATGGCTGAAATAAGGTCTGTGGTTAACACTAGCTCTAGAAATTTTCACGTTTTATTCTTTGAATAAATTACATCAGTTAATACCCCAGTTGTGATTTATTTAAGCTTTTACGTCTCTTAAAAAAGGATGGTTGCTAACAAGTGGCTAAATGAGACTTCAGGGGTTTTCAAGGACGTTAAACATCATCGCACCAGATACGAAAAACTATCTACTCACCAGCCCACTTTACAGCCTCATTGTGTTATACTCACACTTTTGCAAATTATTACTAACTTTGTAAGAGGAAAGGATTTTATAGAAGAGTTAAGCATGCTTAATCAAACTACAAGTTTATCCGTGGTGATGCTCTAATGTAAAAATCATATTGTCTTTTTGATGAGGGAACCAATGTGACGCGAAAATATGTCATCCCTGCAGCACTCCATTGCTCAAAATTACACGCACCCTAAAGTAATATTTCTTTAGTGTTTTGCAAACATAACCTTCTCAGTCTGAGAACTCATCTTTTGCTTGAAATTATCAGGTTGTATCTGCTAAGGCCATGACCATGATTTTCTTGAAAGCAGTACAGTTGAGTGTAATTCGTTTTAATACATAAAATAAGTGTATTAATAAGTGAAGGGAACTACACAAATACTAGGTCACAGATAAAGAAAGACTTGGAATGACAGTAATGTTGATGAACAATACAAAATATATTTTGTATTGGTAATACAATGTATTTAACTTCATTTCACTGTAGAAAGCACTCAGGTAATGCTTGCAGTACACTAGATAGTGTAGCGAACATACCGGGCCTGGCATCAGTCACAAGCCATTAAAGAAGTTCATTGTAAGGACATGCTGAGTTACGGACCCAAAATTGACACTTTCTTACTCTTCCCACCATCAAACTATCAAATTGATATGAAACAGAGACAAAGGACCCTTCTCTCACAAACAGACCATGCTTTTAGCACGCCAGAGGAACAAAGAATCAGACAAAGGGTCAAGGGGTCAGCTCCAGAGGATCAACCAATGAACATCAGACAACTGAAGAACATAGGCAAAATCTCCAGTTTGTAACAATAAGACTCTGTCTAATGATATTTGAATGTTTCTTATATAGAAACACGCACACACACATCAACCTCCCTTCCTTGTTCCTCTCTAGATAAGAGTCATAAACTACAACCCACATTCCAATCCTGGGTAGTGACCAGCAGAACACTCTTCACAGACACAGATCTGAGGAACAATATATAATTAAATATCTAACTGTTCTGTAACTCATGAGATGTTTCTATGTAATAGGTAAATCCCAAACTTCTATCCTATAGAATGTTTGAAATGTAACACACACTACATGACATTCAGAATGTCCATATTATTATTATTACAGTCAAAGAACTGCTGTGTAATCCACATTTATAGACTATTAGCTTTATGCAATGTTTATATAGTTGTTTGATCAGTTAACCACTTGTATTATGATTAATTCCAGGTTTGATGGATGTAATATGAAATCAACACTCGTATTATTTATGTCATTAGGTTTATATGTTATTTCATTTAATGTTTTATGGTCATGGTGGAAGATGGATGTGCGAGTTTATAGGTAAACTGTAGAATTAAACTTTTCAAAAGTTCAGTGGAAAATTACTCTCTTCTCCGAGTTGAAACAAAGGAGAAGAGGAGTGACGCCCCTGAAACGTAAGCCAGTCCCCAGGGGATAAAATAGTCGTGATCAATTCAGACTTTGCTAGCAGCTGAAAACTGTGCTCAATATCTCTGTTTGCTCTGTAGTCCAGGCTCTTACCACCAGCACAGCTCTTAGCTCTAAGCTGCTAGCCACAAACTCATGGCTCTTAGCCTTTTTTGCACTTGATCGTTTTGTCCGCGTCCTTTATTCTTTCTTTGCCACGTGCTCCAAGTAACATTTTTTTGTCTACACGTGTGATCTTTTAATTTTATAAGCCAAGTCAAGACCAAATGAACCAAAACAACAGAAGTGCCTCAGATTAATTTTGTAACTTTTATTTATTATCAAGTTTTCCTTTTTGAAAAATTTTGACAACTTTAGCGTCATCTGGTCAACGCCAGTCTCCTCCAAATTTATCCGGACAAAGTGAAGCGCCTTAGAGTTTATTTCGCATCAACCCGCAAGAGACGCCAGCAGATAACATCTGCACATCTCCTGCAGAGAAGCCGACCAGAAAACAAGAGTGCCCGAGACAGAAAGTCTCCTGGCAAACTCCACCAGAGCTGAATCGCTGAGACACCGGCAGAATCCGTCACCGTGATAACAGGAGGAGAAACAGGAGAATCCAACTAGATCCCGCGTCTCCAGGGTTACCACTGCAACCACAGCCACCTGGAGTTCCAGCCGAGGGTCTTCAGCTACAGCGCAAC